AACTCCCCTCTCATACATACACACTCCACCTTCTTCCCAGCTGTATGGCTCCCCTATAGGAGATCCTCCCCTCCCAATCCCACACCATGCCACATCTCGACTCCTCTGCCCCACATGGATAAAAAGCATCCCACTATGCACTCCCCTCATCCCTTCCATGTCCCACATGCCTGACAGCCCAAACCAATCCCTCACACCATTTATAACATGCTCCCCACAACCCACCCCTCAATAGAGGGGTTAAAATCAATTAAGTGTGTTCCTAGTTAACTCCAACACTTGAGTCCATCTCTGTATTTCTGGAGCTGGTGGGCAATGTATACCTCTGCCGGCGTGGATTCATATGCTTGCTTGGAACTATTTTTCCCACGTCTCCTGATCTGACATAGGCAGGTAGAGGCACCAATTGGTGCTTCCCACAAGGCTTTGCTGGGGCTGGATGTTGGTCCAATTATAAGATCCCTCTGCCCCCAGCCAGCCCTTTGAGTTAACCTGCCCACCCTGGGTCCAGTGTGGCTGAGGTGGTCACTTCGGGGCCGGATAGGAATTTTGGGTCCGTCTCACCTGATTGGCATATAAAAGGTGGGCGGATGTATTTTTGCCTATCCCACACTATTTACCCATGGGATTCTGAGGGCTATTCTAGGTTTTGAGTCACGTTTAAATAGGTCAAACTGTCAGGTAGTATAGAAGAGAAGGTGAGTTTCAGTGAGCTCCCAAAAGGCACATGGGGTCCTACTGCACCCAGCATCACAACTACCAGGATCTGGAGTTTCAGTTGCTGGGATGAGGAGTGAATAAGGTATAATCCCATCCACTGCATGCCTTAGTTTTAGACAATTGGATGGATGGCAGATAGGGAGGTTTTTCTTCCCAGTCTGTGGCCATCTGGGTACGAGGTGTTCAGGGGACAGCTCTGACCAGGAGCTTGGGACTTACCCGCTTAGGATTGGAGAGGGGGCAAGAGATACCCCTAGAGCCTGCCCCAGGGATCCACATGCCATCCAGGCCCCTCTGCAGGATGAGAGTGTGGAGGTTAAAAGCAATAAAGTATGGCCCTTGTTAACTCCAACACCTGTGTCTGTCTCTTTATTGTGGGAGTGGGTGGGCAGAGATTAAATAACAGTGGTGGAGGAAAACATTGAATATTAATTTCATGAACTTTAAAATATCATGTGAATAAATCTACAGTGTTTTGGAAATGCATAGTATTACTGTATATTCCAAAGTGTCAATAGTCAACAAGAGACCACAGCAGAATATTGTAACTACAAAAATTCTCAAATGCTTTCCAGACAGTTTACATGTCTCTACATTTTCTCTTTTGCATTCTTTTTTCAACAGCTCCACAGTTCATCCCAAAAGCAGTCTTGACTGCCACTAGCAAAGTTCCATCTCCCACCCCTCCAAATGTAGGATTTCCACAAGAATAGTCACAGGCCTGACACTACACTGATTTCCTACTGATTCTGCCTCTTATTACACAAGAGGTGAATTACCGAGACAGGCTCACATGATCAGCATTGCTGATTTATCAAGAAAACATCAAACTAGTGGCATTCCCATTTGGACATACGGAAAAAAAGCTCTTCACTTTCTCTTGATCCTGAAGGATAGAGATCCAAGGGTTGGACCCTGATAAATTTTAAACAGAAGTTTCCAAGAGCAGCAAATGGAGATGGTATTTGTAGCAATCTGTGACAGATTGTTACCACTGATCATACAGGTAAAAGGTAAAATGAATGGAAGAAGCAGTGCGGGAAGACTAATGAATTATTGGTCTGGATACAACACAATATCATTGTTTAGAGTTGTTGCATGCATGGTCAGAATGCCCACAATGACATCCACCCTCTAATAGGAAACAGATGAGAAGACCACTGTCTCTTCAGTTGGATGGGTTGGAGTAAGATGTTCCTTGCTTAAGAACTGAATTTCCTTTTTTCCTTTTTCAGTCTGCATTTGGTCCTGCCATTAGGCAGAAGGGGATAGGTGATTCAGAAGTCATATACTTTTTGTTTTTTCCTTGTTGGCCATGGCTCTTTGGCCCCAGCAAACAAGCAGCAGCAGGAAAGGAAAAGAGAGAGGGAGGGAATGAGTGACAGACCATCAAGACCGACAGATGGACGAGCACGAACTCTCCGCGGCAGGTTGCAAAAGGAGACGGGGCGGGAAGCAGGCACGATAAGGCTTTTTTCTCAGCATCCCCCCCTTCCGCGGCACATCTGGGCAGGGAGCACAGGAGCACGCGGCCAGGTTGCGAGTGGGGCCCCTCCTTCACCTCAGCTGCGGAGAGGACGGGGCGACAGCAGCAGCAGCCACGCCAGGTGACCCACGAATAGCGGGGGGGGGGAGAGATAAAAGTAGAAGCCCTGGTGGCACCAAACCCCTGAGGGAGAAAACTGCCAGGCAGGGAGAGGGCTCCCCTTCTGTACGCATGGGCACTTCAGGGGGGCAGGTGGGACCCAGCCCCTACGAGGCAGCGAGGAAGCCCCTCACTTGCCAAGTAGGTGCCGCCACTGCTTCTCCTGCTCCAGGTTGGGCTGAAATTAGAAGCCAGACAGATTTTGTTGCAAGCACAACACGCCCACCCACAAGCATGACACGTCCCTCTGCAAGTGCAACATGCCCCCCTGTGCGTGTGTGCAGGGGGGCAGAGATCTGTGTACACAGCCCAGTTAAAGGAAGCCCACGGACTGGCACCGGGCCACGGACCGGGGGTTGATGATCCCTGCTCTAGACTCAAAGAGTATGACTTAATAAGAAGCTGCTGGCATATGCAAAGATCCAGGTCTATAGAGCCTGTCCTGAGTACACCCCTGTACTGCAGTGAGTCCTGGACCCTTTGTGCATGGCAGAAGAGGAAGCTGAACACGTTCCATATGTGTTGTCTCCAACGCATTTTTGATATCACCTTGCAGGACAAAGTTCCAAATAGGGTAGTCCTAGAAAGAGCTGGAATTTTTAGCATGTATACATTATGAAACAGCAATGTCTACGTTGGCTCGGGCATATCGTGAAAATGGCTGATGGCTGGATTCAAAAAGATCTCCTGCACTGAGAATTAGTGCAGGGAAAGCGCCCCAGAGGGAGACCACAGCTGCGATATAAGGGTATCTGCAAGGGGGATCTAAAGGCCTTAGGAAAGGACCTGAACAGATGGGAAACATTGACATCTGAGTGCTTAGCCTGGAGGCAGGCGGTACAGCATGGCCTCTCCCAATTTGAAGAGACACTTGTTCAGAAGGCTGAGACAAAGAGGCAATCCCCAAACCAGCAAAATCAGGGAGCTGGACAGGGGACAGATTGTATTTGTCTTCAGTGTGGAAGGGATTGTCACTTTCAAATTTGTCTTCTCCGCCAAACTAGACACTGTTCCAAGACTTCTATTCAGAGCATGGTACCAGTCTCTCGAGACTGAAGGACGCCTACATGGTGATACAGTATATTCACTTCATAAAATTTGTAGGGCTTAATTACAAACAAATATAGTCCACTCAAAGCTAACAGTCTTAGGGAACCTTAAAGACTAGGGTCTCAATTGAACTGGGAGGTCCAACTAGAGAACACCCTGTGAACCACATCATTTATTTATGTGCTGTCTCACCAAAATCCCATTGGGTCTACTACAGGTGGAACCAATAAATGGATTTAAACCTAACAAGTTTCATTTGGCGCAAGTGTTCATGGATCTCAAAGGCCTCTGAAGAAGTGAGTTACAGTTCATGAAAGCTTATGTTTAATATGTTAGTCTTTAAAGTATCACAAGACATATTCGTGCAAATCATAGTAGTCTCACCAGATCTTTCCTGCCTCTCCCCACAGAAAACCACTCCAGTGAGGAGGTAGGGAGCAAGTCTCTCCACTCAGCTGCTGGATATGATTACAAAGCACCCATGTTTATTAGCTGGTTTTACTATAAGAAATGTAAATTTTATCATGGAATCAGAGGTTCCCTTTTTCACATGGCACCTCTGCCATTTAGTTTTAAAAGCCATTAAAAGTCAATGTGAGTGGCAAGAGGAAGCCATAAGACTACCATTAAAAGGCAATAATTTTGATCAGTATTATGCATATTCAAGTAAAATAAAGAAAAATGGCAAGTACAGTGCAGATCAGGTTGCAGGCAGAACTACAGAATAGTTTTTATAATGACAATGAAGAAAATCAATTTGATCAGCATAGATGATACAAAAAGATAATATAAAAAGCAAAAGAGGACAGAGATAAACCCTCAAGATAAATACACCAGCAGTGCAATCCTATATATGCCTCCTCAGAAGTAAGTCCTGTGGGACACCATCTTAAGTGGACAAAAGACCGCAGCCAGAGCTGTAATTTGGTCTTTGTACACCAATCTAATTTAAATGGGTTTATAGTGCTGGAAACAGCTCTATCATCACTGAAGGATAAGGCAAATCCATCTACTAAGTGGCATGTTTTGTTTATTGTCAGTTGGCAAGAAGTCCATCATTTGTGTAAGCAGCAAAACAAAATCTGAGCATGAATGATTCCTATGCAAAACCACTGGAAGCAGCAGCCTCTACACAGTGACTATTACACTCCTTAATCAAACATACAGAACGTGCTCCATGAAAACATTACTACCCAAAATACATGGATTAAATACTGGGGGAAAGTTTACATTTTTATTATAATTTATTTTATTTAACAATCTAAGAAGTTTGCAGCCATCAGTAATTCCAGTGCAATTTCAGGTGCAATTGGAAATTCAGGAATCTCTGTGGAGCTGTTTGTGTAGCGAACCTTGTAGGTAAAATACATGCACACTTTGGATAGGACATGGGAAGGAATCTCTCTAAAATTCACTTCATTTGTTTCATTTTCAGCAAACTGCCCTATGTACAAAAAAAGAGAAAAGACAGAAAATGAATGAATACAGAAATCCTCTAGTAAGTAAATAGTTAAACAGAACTATATACAGTGGTGCCCCGCATAGCGACGTTAATCCGTTCTGTATTAATCGTTGCTATGCAAAAACATCGCTAAACGGAACCAAAAAAGCCATAGGGACGCATTAAACTTTGTTTAACGTGTTCCTATGGCTCCCAAACTCACCACTGAGCGAAGTTCCTCCATAGCACAGCCATTTTCGCGCCCTCGGTAAGCGAGGGCAGGGCACGAAAACACTTGCAGTGGCCATTTTAGGCACCCGGCGGCTATTTTGGAACCGCCAATCAGCTGTTTAAAAAACATCGCAATGCAAAGATCGGTAAGCGAAACGCTTACCGATCATCGTCATGCAATGTTTTACCCATTAAAACATCGCAATGCGATCGCATTAGCGATCTAAAAAATTAGATCGCTATGCAGATTCGTCATTAAACAGTGCACTCGTTATGCGAGGCATCACTGTCACGGGTTCAACAGAGTCCCTCGTTGCTTGAACCTGAGTACAGTATTCTGTATTGTCACTGCTACACATTAGAAATTCTGGTTAAGCACAATAGGAGTATTTTCTCATTTGTTAATATCCTTCCTTGAAATATTCTATTTTTACAATTATCTTGCCAAACAGGCTCTCATGATAGCTATTTAAAATAGTACCTTTACTATCAGAGTAAAATTGGGTTGAATTTTAAACATAAGGTAAAGGTTCCTTTGACATGGTTCCTTGAGTGGTCATAAGACCAGATCGGTGGGATATAAATGAAATAAATAAAATAGAATAAATAAATAGTCCAGTCGTGTCCAATTCTAGGGCCTGGTGCTGATCCCCATCTCCAAGCCAGTCCGAAGACTTTTCCGTGGTCACATGACCAGCACGACTAGACACGGAACGCCGTTACCTTCCCACCGAGGTGGTATCTATTTATCTACTCGTATTTGCATGCTTTCAAACTGCTAGGTTGGCAGGAGTTGGGACAAGCAACGGGAGCTCACTCAGTCGCGTGGTTCAATCTTACAACTGCTGGTTTTCTGACCCTGCGGCACAGAGGCTTCTGCGGTTTAACCCGCAGCGCCACCACATCCCCACTAAACATAAGGTAGCTGTAAATACAAGCTAAAGTGTTAGTGTCCTTTTCAGCTATAGTATATGTAGTTCATGTTTCAAACAATGACATTATTTTTCAAGGTGCCTATAGGAGATTTACATTGTTTTCCTTATATGGCAGCAATACACCCACCCTCTTTCTAGATCAGATTCTCAGGGGGCTATGGGGAAGGGAAGCTTATGCATGTGTAATTGAATGGAACCAAATACCATATACTAATATATTAGTTTGGGAATCAAATTCACAAACACTGAATTCTTACCAAAATGATATCACAGATCTGTATCTTTATAAAGATATATTCTAGTTTGTAGCTATGCTAGCAGACAAACAGGATGTTTACATTCAAGATTCTCAAAGAAAACAGTCTGGAACCATTTCCATTAAGCTCTTTCTAGAAATAAGTTCTGCTTCGTCTAAAAGATATTTTATTAACTAGTTTGAATGTGGAATAAACATTGCAGCTGTTTTTTTTTAGTTGAACATGCCATTATTGAAGAAAGTGAGGAGAGGCGGGAAAGCCACTCTGCGCCCAGTCGGCTTTGGGCTTTCAGGCACTGGGCACTGGGGACAGGAGACAAGTGGCCAGCGGGTCCAGTTTTCTAAACCCTGAAAGCCCAAAGCCGACCGGGCGCAGAGCAGCTTTCCCACCTCCCCTCACTCGCAGCTCGGCTTTGTAAGCTGAAAACCGCTCTGCGCCTGTTGTTGGCTTTGGGCTTTCAGGGCTTGTGTGTGTGTGGGGGGGGGTGGGGTTCTTGGGCTGGGTACGGATTAATTGATTTTCAATGCATTCCTATGGGGAATGCATTTTCGACCTATGGACTCCGTTCCAATACGGATTAATTCCGTAGGTCGAGACCTCACTGTATTAGTTTAAAAGGTCATGTAATGTATACTTCTACATACTTCTTTCCTTGTATGTCAGCCAGTATGAAGGATGCTATCCGATATGTATGCTTTTACACAACTTCCAAAGAATTCATTTTGTTCTTATGTATCTCCATGCACTCAATATCTTAGCTAGACAAGATGCTGGCCAAAATTTGGTTTGGTGTAGTATATCATTCTGGATTAGACCCACTGAATCAATGGGGAGTTGGTGAGTCAGCTCCTCCGTACATTCCACTAATTCAAATGCCTCACTCTAGTTGCGACCTACTTTAGCATAGTAAATTGTAACAAGATTAGGCCTATTTGAATCAATAGAATTTACAGAGGCGTTGACTCACCAAATCCCCATTGATTCAATGCACCTACTATATTAAGTTATGGAGATTCAGCCATTGCATTTTTGATGAAAGGGGAAATGAAAAAATCTGCAAAGGCAGATTGTTCAATAAAGAAGCTAAAAAACAGATCTAGTACATCCTTGTAGCACTCAGATTGCAAGGCATAAGAAAGTAAGTTCAAAACAGATTAACATTTTTGCAATTGATTTATTGCACCTACCTGGACCACTCAACATTGCTTTTATTGTTCCTGATGTGAGCGCATGCTCTCGTTTAACGATGAACTCATGGCCATCAGAGGATATTAATTTCACATACATGGCATCAGGGCCTTCACACCCACCATATGTTTTCTCTTCTCCATCTACAATACACAATTGTTGTGCTCCTTAAATTTATGTGTATTAAAAATCTTAAGAACAAAAAACCCCAAAGTTTAACACTACAACAGTGAATCAAGAAATGGAAGACGGCTTTCAAAAAGAGGAAGTAGATCCTCAAGGAGCTCAGAGAAGTTGTTATCTCCAAACTGTTCAGAGACTTCAAACGTCATATGAGTGCTAATCCATTAATATGAAGTCAATGAAACAAATGGGAAAATATTTCATTAACTTTCAGTTAGCCTCCCAGCATATGAATGTAAACATTCAGCACTAACAACCTCACTTAAAACAGTGCTCTTTTTTGTATATATATAAAGAAGACAAAAATATTGTAGTATCTTAGAGATTAACTGCTATATTCTAATGTAAATTTTTGTGAACAGGTACACTTCACCAGGCAACAGTATAACATTTCATGTGACAATATAACAAATATGCACATGCAAAATATTTTGTAGCTGACAGCCAGTTTTTGAGGAAGCAACAAATTAAAACACATGTACAATTTCAGCAATTAATCAGTCAATGGGAAATAGGTTTTAATCTGTTTCCTCCCTAACTCTCAGTATCCTTTACACAAATTTTCAAGAATATTTCTAGATGAGGGCTGCTTGAAACAGAGTGGGAGAACACCTCCCTCTGAAATATTAAAGTGAGGCACCTCTCCATCTGTAAGCTGTTCCACTTACAGAGTGTACATTTACTCTTATTCAAATTTTGATTTTATGCAAAAGGATTTCTAGCAAAATGCAGCATCCCAAACAGTGTGAGATTACAGGAGTACCATGTAGTTTTATAAAGCAAGAAAACTGAATTCTGAAAAATATTCTATGAAAAGCCATTACATGTATAACCATTATAGAAAATCTCCCCTCTAAATTCATAACCACTTTACTGAAAACTTCATCAAAATTAAAATCAGCCTTTGGGATATGCAGAGGATGCTCACAAACAAAAGGTACTTATGAAATGCTACTTTTAACAGTGCACTTACCCATTGTACCTTATCAACTGGTTTGTTCTTGGCTGCTATCTCTTTCTCAAAGATCTGAAAACAAAATGGAAAAGTACATATAAGTTCAAGTTCATTCTTGAAAGCAAAGTGCTGTTTGGTGACAACAAAAGGTCACCAACTGCTGCCTTTTCTTTAACTGCTACTGAAGTTAAATAAAAACCTAATGTAGCTGTGTTTACCATACCACATTACAAAGTCAAAGGCATATAGTATTTTCATTATTCACTTCTTTCTAGTCTGCAACCAAGGTTATAAAAGAAACTTTACTGCACAAGAAGCAAAAGATAGGACTATTTCTAGGTACTAAGTTCGTCTAGGGATTCTGTGGACCAGAAAAGCTAATAGCCTCCAACTACATTCTGATCCCACATCTAAGTGGATGAACCTATTTTTGAGGCCTCGGGTTTTGCCTAACATTGGTAATTTTGCCTTACTGGGAATAATTTTTCTTTGGATTCATCTGAAATAAGATTCTGTCCCAAATCCTCTTACATAGTTATACTGTGCAATGTGGACAGAAACATTTTGGGGGGCAAATTGCTTCAAATAAAGAAATCACTGTAGACAACTTCTATTACATACTGAGTCACATACCTCAGTGCACAACAGATGTCTATAGTGATTTTTGAGGCAATTTGCCTCCAGAATTAGATAGTCAGGACTGCACCTGAGTAAATATGCAAAGGAATGTTAGCATCTTACACAAAAATGGTTACATTAAAGTAGATTTTAAAGATCTGACCACTTTGCTAACCTCAAATCTAGATTAGCATGATGTGACATGTTTTATGAGGAGCTGTACTCCAAACAGTTCAGAAATTTCAGATTGTTCAGCGTGAGGCTTTCCTAGCAGTGAGCCAATGAAACCTGGAAACCTTCAAATAGTTCCAGACCAGAAACACCTCAAACTCCTCAAGGAGTGACTCCTTCTGCATATTTCCACTCATTCCTGTAAATCATCTCGGAGCATCTTAATTCCTAGTTTCATTTATGCATCTTTTTTGTTCTTCACAGCTACACTGCAGAATCACTCTGCATTCCTATGAGCCTCATCTGAACAGATACTGTATATCATTTGTTACTGATATACAGAAACAATATTTTTGTTTCTTTTTCTTTTCTTTGCCAACATGATGAGACAAATTAACAGAGCTACTTCTTTGAGGATTGTATTGATCACAGTAATGGCAATCAATAGTTGCATGCTGTGCTTTGGTCCAATTAAGGGGGGGGGAAGAGAACCCTATCAAATCTGAAAATAAATGCTGAGAAATAAAAAGGTTGCCAGGATGGCCCTGTGGCAAGGATTTGTGGAATTACATACAGTATTTGTAGAACTAGAAGGGAACTGTTGTGCTCAAGACCCGGGCCTTGCGCGGAAATTTCCTAACTTAAGGCAAGGAAGGGGTTTACTACCAGAATCCTTGCCCCAGGGCAGTAACGGCCGCGTATATGACCCATTAGAATGGATCGTGTCAGTGTACCCCCGGAATTTCCTTGGTGGCCGGAAGGTGATCAGACCAGGCCCCGAGTTCCAGCAGAAGCCTCGGGAGGGAGACTGGGCCCGCCGCCCTTGTTGCGGGACTGTGTGCGCGGTAAGGAGCACCCCGCTACGGCCGATGACAGATCGGGAGCGCTTTGGCCCGGCCCCCTGGTAAACATCGATGGGAATGGAGAAACGCGTCGCCCCAAAAGATACCATTTGTTATCGGACGATGTTTTAAGGGATCCGTTTGATCCAGTTGAGTTAAATCCTTATTCAAATAACCTTGTTGATTTTGAAGAAGATTCGCCTCCTCATCTCTTTCCCGCCTTTACCACTCAACCCCCCCGGCTGGCGTACCCACTTGTCACACCACCACAGCCAAGATCCCACTAGTCCTGTCAATGGTGCCTGGAGCTCCACTGTCTTCCTGCATGGCTGGATACTCCAGGCAGGAGGATGAGTCTCCCTGCACAACTGCTGAGTGGCCAGCCAAGCAGGAAGAGTGGAGCTCTGAGCACCATTAGCAAGACAAGTGAGACCTTAGCCACAGCAGAATTCGTGCAAATGTCCAGTCGGACCCTCATTAGGTCCAGTTGGGATGGAGATATTTCATATTCATATACAAATTTCCCAATTTCTAATACTGACTCAATTTGCATTAGGGATATTGTTGTTGTTTTTTGCCATTGCATTACATTGTTGACTCATGTCTGGCTTGTGGTCTACTATGACTCCTAGATTTTTTCAGTATACGCTAATTGAAAACCTGCTCTTTCCTCCCAAATACAGAGCTTTACCATATTTCCCTCTTGAAATTCATTCTGTTTTGACTTCTTTCTCCAAACTATTAAGGTCATGTTGAATCTCCTTTCTGAAGTTATCACGTACCCCTCTCAATTTAGTGTCATTTTAAAATTTGATTAACAGCTTTTCTACTCATTTATCACATGTCATTTCAAGAAAAAAAATAACACTCTTTTACTAAGGAAGAGTTATTCCTGAATGTGCCAAATTGGCATCCAACATATCATAATGTATACCAAGCCTTCTTGAAACATATGAATGAAAGCTTTTCCACACTGCCTAACAACATAGCTCTGTGGTTTGGGTACCTGGTTGCAGAGAATTTAAGCCCCCACTATGCCTCCTTGATGAGGATGGACTCAATGATTCACAGTATCCCTTCCAGCTCTGCAGTTCTAACATTATATTTGTATCTTCAGTCTACTAATATTCTTTCCAAATGTCGCTGCAAGTAGATCTAGTATCAGCTTTTCTGTTTAGCTATCAGAAGGCTAGAGGATGCCAATAGTCTAGCAAAGTAGGTGCTGAAAGCTCTGAACGTTATCTACAAGAGGTTGTAGTCAATTAGCTTTGTTGACTGAGGGACATGGGGATCTGCAGCTGTTACCACAACAACTTTGTGCAGGGAAAGAGGATGTGTGTAGTTTAAGTAGAGAACTGAAGCCAATTTCTGCTTCCAGTTCCCGAATCACAATGCTTACTTCCTCACTGGAAACAAAGGTGTTCTCTTCAAGAAGCCACTATGAATAAATTCTAATCAATGAACAAATATACCATTTAATTTTTTTATAATAAAGAATAACTGATATTTATTCTTCCTTGCAAAAAGTACCACTTCAAATAAAGCTTAGAAAATAAATAAGGAACTTGAATTTGATCATAGTTGCAATCCAGTATTATCTGTGTGTCACTTCCAATTTTATGTCCAGGTTCAAAAGAATAAGCTGCTCCCACATCAAATTAATTCTTGTATTAGGTATTAACTCGATGTCCCCTGCAAGATGGTGATCTATGGATAAATAACTGTTCTCACTGGAAATTACTTTGCCTATAAATAACTGAAACTGGGCCAAGCCCAAACCTCAAAACATACTTTTACAAACTTTTAGGGTAATGAAACACACCTAAAAGTGCCCAAGCATTACTTTTTAAATTTATCCTGAACTGTGTGAAAAGACAACAAAAGCTACTTGCAAGGAAAACATATTTAATTATTTTAAAATATGTATGTACTTTTTCACATAAAGGGCTCTGTTAATTCCCCAACACTGATCATAAAATGTGCTCCATTTTAAAATGATGATGAAAAAGTATTAAATTAAAAAAAATAGAAAAAGCCAATCAGAATCTACAAACCTAGTAAAAGTGAGCTCATACAGCACTAAGATCCTATCTTCATCAGCTTCTTGGAAGTTCACAGGGAATATATTAATTAACTCTATTGGCATAAATCACAATATGAAATTGCTCCTAGATGAAAAGTTTGCTGTTTGTATGTACTGTCACACTGCAGTCAGGTGACTTGGTGTACAACAGCAAATGCAAATATGATTTCTTAACTAGCAATAATTTTCAATGATGGATATATGCCAGTGTAATTATTCAATCAGATTCTGGCTGAAAGTTCACATGGCAGTGTAGCCGATTTACTCAGTGAGCAGGAGCATGAAGGAGCTTTTTCAAATATTGAAAAAAAGGTGTTCATTATTCTTTCTAGAAAAAGGTCAAAAATAGCTTAAAGCTTAACCAAAACAAGAATGCAAAAATATGCATTCAAGAGAAAGAAGTTATTTTCATATTACAACCTCAGTTCCCATACTTACTAATAACACTATCAAAAAGATAGCTTAGAAGTGGCTTTTTTCTAAATAGACCACATTTTGTTTTAGATATAACTTGTCCCACTTTTCTTTATTTTAAAAACTATGATATGCATTATCTTCCAGCCCAGTTTCAAATGTATGATCTGTTATGGTATATTAAAGTTAAGATTTAAATTATTCACATTATACAGTAATCTATATGATCTTTAAAAAAAGTAGTATTAATGATTCACATAGCAATATCAAGTGCTAAAAATAAGGTTCCAGAATGCATCTACACATACAGTACAACTCAAGTATCCTTCCAGAAAAACCAAGGTCTTTACCAGTGATAAGCAGTGACTGGAAAAAAAGGGCTCACTTTTAAACAGCAAGGGGGGGAATACCAGCTGAAGGTTAGTAAAAACAGTGCACTCACAGCACCTAAGATAGTCTCCATTCAGGAGGGTGAATTCTTTCTCCAGAAAACAGAAAGTAAACAGCTAAGTGATTTACAGGTTTTGTTTATAATGAAAACATACACAGAGAGAAACCATATAGTAAGAAAAAAAATGCTTTCCCTTTAAGTTAGGTTAATTCATGCAAAGCTGAAACCGAAGAAACCATGATACTGTATAGCTGAACACAGAGCACCACCTCTTCAGTGTAATAATAGGGTTTACAGAATACCTGATCACTGTCAAATAGCAGATGGTACATGTTGAGCTGTTAATGGACCAATGCTCCAGTAGAAGCACTTATTCAGCTATGCTAGTGAAAATCCGCTAAAAGATCCTGCCCTTTTTACATCAGGCCAAGCGATTACTTCTTGGTGTCTGCATCTTTAGAGGGGCGGTGACCCAAAGCAGGACTGTCGTCTTAACCTTATTTTTCTGTTGCTCATTCGTTTTAAGCACCAGTTGTTTTTTGTTGGACTGGGAGGAAACAACGGAGGGCTCTTGCTATGCCTGAACCTGCTGCGATTTATACAGTATTATAATGTTTTTATTCGTTTGTAACAGCCACTCAAGTACAATAAAAAGGCACTCGGAAAGGCACCTCAAAAGACACCGTTTATGAGCTGAAAGACTGCCACAGCTAGTCCTCTGAATTCTCATCTAAGGGGAACACAACGAAGCCAAGGCTTCCTACGCTCGTTTCTACAAAGCGGAGCAAACTCTTGCGTAAATCAGGAAAGGCCGCTCCCCCCGCCTCCGCGACTGGGGTTGGCAAGAGGCGTTGCTGGGCTTTAACGTTGCGGCAGAGAAAGAAAACCAGCCCCCGCAGAGGCCTTTTGGCTGGCGGATGCCTCATCCCCATCTGCGGCCACCCCATAGCTTTCCATCCGACGGCGACCACAGCCTCCTGCCCAGGACCCCAAGCCCCCATGGCGCTGAGAGGCCGTCCTTCGTGGCGTTCAAACCACGCAGGGCAAAAAAAAAAAAAAAGAGGAACGAGGTCTTGCTCCCGAACTTACCCCTGGCCTGCCTGAGCCCGCGGGTGTCGACGGGCTACCTTCGCAGACCCCGCACGGTTTTATTCGGGACAACTGCTTGCTTCGAAATCACTTCCGGTAGGTCACAGAGCAGTTTCCTGTCTTCGAGGACAAACGTATGGGGAGAAAAACCATAGAGAGGGAGTAACACATGTTTTCTGCTCCGTTTCCTGTTCGTTGGGAAAACGAGCTGCTTTCCGGAAAACTGAAGCCGGATTCCAAGAGAGGAGCCGTTATAATTATATGGCAACATTTTGAAGTGTCCCTAATTTATACATTCAAAGGGCAACGTCAGTATATTAGTTGTTAGTAAGCCCCGGACAACACTGGATTTCTTTGCAGTCGTGTTGTAAATTCGGCTTTCCCCGCTTACAAAATATGAAGTAAACACTGGCAAAAGCGTCCAGCACACGCAAGTCCTTTTCCTGCATATGCAATAAGACCAAACTTATATACCTCAATACCCTAGGCTGCCAGAAAGACAAAACAAGTGGGCCTTAGATCAAATCAAGCCGAAACTTTCTCTGGAGGGAAAAATAACAAAACTGAGGTTGCCCTACTTTGGGCACATCATAAGACGGCAATATTCGGTGGGGGAAAAAAATAATACTGCGAAAAGTTAAGGGCAGCAGGAAGAGAGGAAGACCAAATACGAGATGGGTTGAGTCCCTAAAGGAAACACGGCCTTGAGCTTGCAATAGCTGAGCAGGGTTGTTGAGGCAGGAAGTTTTGGAGATTGCCTGTTCATAAGGATGTCAAATTCGAAGTGACTTGACGGCATCTAGCAACAACGGCAGTTTCAAAGATCCACAGTCACTTTACCCGCCCCCCGCCCCCGCATGGGGGGGCGAGGAAAGGAAATGAGAAAATGGGCAGAAAACTGACTAGTAGGCTGTAGAAGAGAATTGTCGATATAATAGGCTGCTAGAATTTTTCACATTTACATGGATACGTAAAAACATGGAAGTTAAGAACACTGTTCCTGTATTTAGGTGTAGTGATGGTTCGTCGCATTCTAGTCAAAAGATCCCCTCCGGGATTTCCTTATTCAGTTTCCATGCAAACAAAAAGTGGACGACTTTAGGCTTCGGGATATTCACGCCCGAACTGTAACGAGGACCTAGTAAACTGTATCTAACAGCACTACATAGGATGTTTAATACGTTTTCCCCCCACCTTTTCTCTTGCCTTTTTTTTTTTTTTTTTTTTTTTTTTTTTTTTTTTTTTGTTTATCCATTGACTGAGAAGCCCCAGCCAAGAGTCTGGTAACAGAAGCATGAAGTGGAACATAGTTCTTAGAACAAGAGTTCTCAAATCTGTTATCTTAAAAGGTCAGCGGAATTTTGGTTTTGTTACAAATGCGGAACAGAAGTTGCTTCCTAGAAGGTGCGAACTAAGAGAATTAATCTGATTGATGTTACAGTATTTCATCCCATCAAAGAAGAGATTCATTCTTCGATAATACTACGCTCTTTTGGCCCCAGGAGAACAAGGGTTAATATACACGGGCGTATTAGTATTTTGAAAATATGCATCTGGTTTGACAGTGGGTGATTTCATTACTGCTTCAGTTTCTTTCTTCTTTCAACACGACTCTGAAACATTAGGTAAGATTAAGGGCAGTATGAAAAGTTTTACATTTAAGTAATATGACAAAGTTCCCGGAACCAAATAACTCGCAGTTTGCAGGAATCAGTCGGTTTGGTTACTCGCACGGACCTATCATCGCGAGACTTTGGGGCTTTGAAGGTGAACGTTTGAATCTTTAGCTCGCGCCCGCCTGTCCTAACGGGATTTCCAGGAGGCTCTTTGGGGCACAGACGGTTCCCTTTCAGCCCCACAGGCGGCTGCCTCATTTATTTATTTATTTATTTAATGTACACATTTAGAATCTAAGACCTGCAGAGCTGGAAGGGACCTTCTGTATTATCGGATCGTCTTTGTTCTGCTAAGGCTCGCACACTTCAGTGGAGTAAGGAGTGAGAGAAGTAACCAGAGGCGTTGGTCTGTTTCTGCAAGCAGTGACAGAAAGCAACTTGTAGCCTTTGGGAAAAGTAACAGATCTACAGTCGATCTTACGCATGTCCTTTTAGATGTCATGCCTATTGGGTTTAGTAGGATTTACTTCCAGGTAAGGTACAGCTAAATCTAGTTGTGAGGTGAAAGGTGGCAAGGCGCTTTTTTGGTGCTAAGGAAGTAAACTGTGTTAACTGTTCTCTGTGGCTTTACTTACTCTGTGGACTCCTCAATATACATTGCTATTCTTATTAGACTGAGAATGTGATGCAACTGCTGTATTATTTTACTACTAAATGTTGTTTGTTATCTCTATGCAAACTTTAAAATGATCAGTCTAGCAAATACAGATCTTGTTCCAGTGTTTCTGTGTTCCTTTTTTGCTTGAAAGTTTATGTGTAGTTAATGATTTTGTACTTTGTTACAGATCTTGTTGAAGACTACTAGTGAACATCCAAGATTGACTGCTCAAGTTCAGTGTCATGGATTGTGGAACTCAGTTTATTGAAACTCTGAAAAGGGTAGGATATTCAAAGGCATATTTGCTGAATGGAGAAGACTTTGACTGGTTGTTTGAAACTTTGGAAGATAAATCATTTTTGGAGTGGTTTTGTACAAATGTGAATGAGCAGCATGTATTATCTGAAGATGAGCTGCAGTCATTTAATATTCTTCTGAAGACATCAAAGCCTGTCTTAGAAGAAGAGGCTGTAGATGAGGTTCTCAAGACTTGCAAGTCTCTGGAGTTGAACGCCAATATTTGTGAAGAAAACGAAGAAGAAAAACTTAAAACTTTAGAAGATGAGCTTCAGGCCCTTCAGAAGATGAAGCAGTTAAAGATTTGTCGCCGCAACAAACTTCAAATGGAGGCCTCAGCCAATAGTCTGATATCCCTAAAGCTCAAAGAAGGAGCAGAGGAACTGCCTAAAAATCTGAAAGAGGGCCAGGGACTTTTCACTGCTATGAATACAAAGATGAACAATGAGCTGCAGTCTCTTAGTGAAGGAGTTGAGAAGCTGATCTCTTTCTTTAGGGCACCTGAACAACAAGAATCAGATCCACACGCTGTGCTGCTGGTCCAGCATGTTTTAGATAAATATTTGTGTCAAGAAGAACAGAGCACTGCTGCTCTTACTTCCTATACAAAAAAGCAGTTTTTCCAAGGTATAGCTGAATTGGTTGAAAGTTCCAAAGAAGAACATTTCCAGTTAGTAGATATGAAGAATTCTTCCATTTCTGAAGAGAGCAATGAGGCATGTGAAGAAAGGCTAGAGCTGACTAGGTTGCAGATGGCATACGTCTGTGCCCAGCACCAACTGATTCAACAGAAGGCCAAGAATCGAAGTATGAGAGAAGGTCTTCAGTGGGCAGAGGAAAATATTTCTTCTTTGAAGAAGGTAAAACTATTATTATCCCACACACAGGCATTGTTCCATTTTGCAGATATAAAGAACCTACAGAGAGCAATCTGAATAGCTAAAAGTGCATTGTTGTTTTGTTGACCTACCATGACAAAGTTTTATGTAAGGAAGGAGACAATTCCTGATCACTCATTAGTCTGACACCCTTGGTTTTATGTAAGCTTCAATGGGGCAGAGAAGTGATAGGCACCGGTGAAGAGACATAATTTGTAATAGTTGGACAGATGTCCTAAGGGTCATTGGTTAGGTTAAGACTTCTTGGTAAGTCACCATTTATGTAACTTCTGTTCTATTCCTTTGGTACTTTAATAATCCTAAAACTGCTGAGCTGGAAGGAACCCCATGGATCATCAAATCCAGACCTTGTTAAGGAGGCCCAGTGGGGAACTGAACTCCCAATCTCTGGCTCTGCACCCAGAGATCTAAACCACAGAGCTTTAAGTCTGCGGCTGCAGAGCCAGACGTTGGGAGTTCAATTCCCCACCGGGCCTCCTTGACAGGGTCTGGACTTGATGATCCATAGGGTCCCTTCCAGTTCTAAAATTCATAGTGGTTTTAAACCATTCCTTGCAAATACTTTTGGTTTTTCCCATGCCATAGTATTTCCTAGATTTGGACAGCTTCTGTGGGTTTTTCCCCTGTTCTTACTCTATCTCAATTTAGAAGCAGATTATGAATCCTCTAAATCAGTGTCCCCAACCTTGGGCCTCCAGATGTTCTTGGACTACAACTCCCAGAAGCCTTCACCACCACCTCTGCTGGCCAGGATTTCTGGGAGTTGAAGTCCAAGAACATCTGGAGGCCCAAGGTTGGGGATCACTGCTCTAAATAATATAACTATTTATGTCCTCCAGGCAACTTATTTTCAGGCAAAGGAAAACCTGGCAAAACAGTAACAGCTTCACATGCATTATCCTTCCTCTGCTGAAGTAAATAGGCTATGCTGTCTAATGTATGGTGATTTTTAATACAGTGGTGCCTCGCTTTACGATTGTCCCACATTACGACGAAACCGCATTACGACGATCTTTTTGCCATCGCAGTTGCGATAGCAAAATGATGATCTGAATGGTTTTTTTCCGCTTTGTGACAATCGGTTCTCTGCTTCGGGAACTGATTCATCGCAAAACGACGATTTTCCTCCAGCTGATCAGGGTTTCAGAATGGCCGCCGGGTAAATAAAATGGCTCCCTGCTGTTTTCTGGGATGGATTCCTCGCTGCACAGGCACCAAAAAAGATCGTCGTAATGCGGTATGAGGAGAAAATTAGTTTTGCTTCCAGTTCTTTCTTTATGTGCATAGCCACACCTTTCTTCTTCTTACTTATGTCCAAGGCTACAAACAATTTTCCTAGCCTTGAACATTCCAGCAGTTTCTGATCTGCTCTTTTCATATGCGTTTTTGGAATGAAAATTACATCAGATTTCTGTTTCTGCAACACTAGAAAAGTCTTTTTCTGTTTTTGAGGTGAGTTCAGGTCATTTATGTTGACTGAAAAAAATGTTTGTTTTCTAGTCATCTTGATTACTACCTTTCTGTTTTCATCATGCCTCTGGTATGTCTTGGCTCAGCTACTTCCTGTTCTCCTAGCTCTGTGTCTGATTCTGACTGTGATGAGTGATCTGGTTTCTCTTGAGGTCTTGCTTCTGGTTCCCCCTCTTTTTTCCTGTCTCCCTGTATTTTCAGATTTTTCTCATATTTTTCCATAAAGTCTTCTGCTTTCATTGGTGATGTTTGTTTGTTTGTTTGTTTGTTCGTTTGTTAGTTTATTTAACTTATATGCCGCCCACACTACCCAAAGGTCTCTGGGCGGCTTACAGCATTTAAAATACAATAAAAAGGCAAAATAAAGGGCAACATAAGTAAAATGCAATTAAAATATATATTCTTTGTTGCAGTATCAGAACCTACAGCTGTTATATCTGTGTGTGTCAATTCATTATATCTCTGTGTGTCAGCCATCTATATGAAATTCCATTTTGTTGCAGTAATGATGCAAGGGGAGAATATTGCTTCCTTCTTTGCCTCATTTGCCAGGGAATTTGTTTTAAGACATTTATTTTCTTCTATTATCAACTGTTTATCTTGTGTGGCTCTTAAAACCTTGTCTCTAATTTCTTTGTAAATCTCACATGAATTTCTCTAGGTAGCTTATTCCTTCTGGTGTATGCTGTGTTCACCCTGAAAGTTGTTTCCAAAAAGTGATGGAAGTCAGCTGCTCCCATCCCTATTTCTGCAGCCAAGGCTTTACTCATTAGCATCTCTAAGTCCTCCCCTTTCTTTTCTGGCATATTTTGAAATCTGAGCATTTTCGATGCTCTCTCCATCTCTAGCATTATTGATCTGTCATCATTTTGTTTTTGATTCTTCCGCATTGCCTCTAGGATTTCTTCAGTTTGGTTCACTCTAGTATCTGTACCTCTCTTTTTCCTCAAGATCTTGTGTTTTTGATTTCACTTCAGTTTTGTGTTGTTTGGCTTCTGATAACTCAGTTTTCATCTCTTTCATCTGATCTGCTATTTGGCTGAGACATTCATTTACTTGTTGAAATCCTGTTTTTAGTAAATTTTGCATGATATTCTGCCATTCTTTGTCTGGTTTTTGTGCCACTAGTTTTCCCAGACTTTGAGACTGGGCGGAAGAGGTTCCAGGCGTTTGGGGCTTTGGTTTTTTGGAGGCCATTTCAGTCTTTTCCATAACAATATCTCAATATTCTTAGAGGTTGTGTGAATTTTACTATACCCTTTACCCCCCCCCAAAAAAAACAAAAAAACAAACCCCAAGGCTTAAATATACCACTTACTCTTTCAGAAATTTCCCCTATTTAACCCATAAATGAAACCCACAACCAACCACCTCTCCTAAGATCTTCCTCCAATCTTTACCCAGATATTTTAGTATATAAGTCAGCTTTTAGCTCAGCAATTTAAAGAACAACCATATAACAAATGTTCCTTCTTCTCAAAAATCCTAGCAATGATGTTATATCTCTCAACCTCTGTTACCAGAGTCCCATGCAATCCAACGAAGAAAATCCAAGCTGACAACAATTACAGGATTTCAAACCTCAATATTTGTACAGTTCCAGCCTGAATGCGATTTTCCAGAGTCTCAAACAACATTCCAGATGTCAAGACGAAGCTAGGAAAAATCTCTGGTTATTCCACCTCAGTATTTGTACAGTTCCAATCTCAGTATGATATTCCAAAGTCCCAAAGGCTTCCTACATATCAAATCCAGTATAATATAGGAGGTGTATTGAGATTGGCACTCAGCTTTCCTCCAGAAGGTGTCCTTATACTCCACTGTATGCTCCTTCCACCATAAATCCAACTGACAACTCCAGTCCTGGTTTTCCCACTTCCACAATCCTCAGTGACCGTATCTTCCCAGTATCTTCTCACAGTATATAAAATAGCCCTTTACAGCCGTAGCCTCTGGGGTGTGTGTGTCTCCCACGGCTTCCCCACTCCCGAGATATTTATACAGTTCCCAAGCTTTGATAGCACTGTTGAGAAGTCTAGTAGCACAGCATTATTATTACTTTTTCAGTTTGTTTTTCTTACTGATAAGTTTTAAGTCCTGTCATTATTTAATTCACGCTGGGATTTTTTCAGGATCAGATTTTTTCTTCTCTCACTCTCTCATTTTTCGCCTTGACCGGCCTACATTCTAAAGATAGTTTGCTTTTGAGGCAGCAGGCTGGTAAGCAAGCTCGCTGCTTCTCCCTTCCTTTCAGCCAAATATTTTCACTCTAGTTTCTCTTTCCATTATTAGGGCTATTCATAGGTCAAAGGCTTTAATTTACTTTATTGTTGTAAATTTTCAACGCTGTATTTGTTTGTTCTCCTCTCCTCCGGAGGGGGTGGGTTACTCATAGCTCACTGCCAAAGATGGCTCCTGCATCCAATCTGTGCTTGGGTGGTCTCTTCAGAGGGAAGAAATACCAGGTTGCTGCCCAGCTTCCTTTCCCTCTGTTGCTCACCAGCTTCAGGGAGACTTCTCCTAGCATGGGTAAAAGAATGGATAACCTTAGAAAATAATAGATTACTCAATTTGGAGGGACATGATTTTGCAGTTCAGCTAACATGCTTTTCTATGGTACAAAAATGATAAAGAGCAGAAACAGTTCAACCTGCATATGATAAGAAGAGCTGTACTAGGGACTTGGAAAAAGATCATCCAACAGATCTACCAAAAAAGCACCAGTCTGGGTATCACCAATAATGGCTTTTACACAACCTAATCTTATGACTAAAGCAAAACTTCTAAAATACTAAGATTTATTTAAAAGGGATGGTGAGTTAGCACAAAAATGGTCTGAAGCTCTCCTCTTTCACCCTCATTAAGAGGTTCTTTAATTCCTCCTCACTTTCTGCCATCAGACCGTATCCTAAATTGTTAATTAAACATATTTTTTTCATCCAAAATAGGTTATTATGGGACTGTGGAATTTGTTAGTGGTATGATTACAGACTAAGTAGAAACATATTTTACAAATAAACCTGTTTATTTTTCAGACTCCTGGAAAAGAAAAATTTGAAGCTAGAATTTCTAGCCTGAATAATGATATCTCAAAAATAAAAAAACATTTGGCTCAGCTAAACCATGAAACCATACCTTTGCTGGCAAAGGAAGATGCAGAACTACTGAACATGCCTGTGGTCAGAGGTGATTTTGATCTACAGATTGCACGACAGGAATACTACATAGCAAGACAGGATCACATTTGTAATCAGTTGATGAAACAGAAGGCATCATTTGAGCTTCTGCAACTGGCTTTTGAAATTGAGTTGAGAAAACTTAGGGATAATAGCCGTTTGCTAGAAAATTTGATTCAGGATCTAAAACAGAGCAACACCACTTTTGCAGAAACCTTAGAAACAATGTCTGAGCCATCTATATGTCATCATAAACTACCAAGAAATACTATTGACTCAAAGGATAATGCCACACAAAGGTAAGCTGCTGATTGGCTGTCTGACAAAATTATACACACACACACACACGGAGTGAAAGAAGGCAGAAGAGGAGGTACAGTACATTATATTTTGAAGAATAATTTTTGTTCAATATTGCTTCTAAGTTTGAAAGTTTTTCCTCTTTTTTTGCCCAATAAATATATACATGTATTGAAACTGCAATCTGGGGTGAGGTCGGCAGGTGCGGGAATCTGACAGACAAGCAAGACCTGGTATGTGAATGTTGGAGTGCTCATTGCCCACCTCTGCTGCATACAAATACCTGTTGAAATCAGTAGATGGCCAAAATTCTCTTGAGTAAATCAGGTCCACAGAAGGGTGATTATATTACTACCAGAGGAGGACATCAGGTAAATGAAGCCATCCCCTTTCTCTCCTATAGCTTTTCCAAATCACTATTAATCTATTTCATCTGTGGGAATTGGAGGAAAGGAGGTAGAAGTCTTTGATTATCAAAATCTCAACCTGCTGGTAATGTAATCTCGCAGTGGTGATTTTCAGGAATCAAATACTTCCTCCTGCCATCCCATGGCTCTCATCCATAGCTTCTATGCAATAAAATGGATTACTTATGCATCATATAAGCTGCAGGAAAGAAGGGGAATGTAACTGCGTGGAGGAGACTTTAAATGTTGAGGATTTGGGCCAACCCATATTCACTTACATCTTCTATGGAAGGGACTGATAATTTCTTAAAATGCAGCAGTTTGGGCTGAATTCTTTGGGGGATAAGCAGTATAATTTACTTGGTTTCTCTCTTATATAGAAACTGACTGTAAACTAGGTAGGTGGAGAATACTTACTAAATTCCTTGTTACTGGTGATGGGTGTTTTAACATAATGAAATATCTTGATGAACATGTTCACACCTCACAAGATTCTTCACATCCAGAACAAGACCAAAAGAATAATAGTACTTTTAATTTTTTAAAAGTACACAGACCAGGGTAACAGTTACTGTAGTTTTACACAGTTTGTTTATGTAATAATCATTCCTGCAAATGTCAGAAGTCTCCACAAGATGAGCAGAAAAATCAGGTCAGAGAAATTTTGTGAATTCTCATGGAAATGAAAGTGACAAGCAGGGATTTACATTTCTATCCAGAGCTGGCCTGTCTTGTCTTTTTGTCCAAGGTGAGACAGACAGTGAGTGGTGTGATGCTGTTGACAGCAATGCAATGGAAAATGGTACTTCTCATCCTGCCTTTTGTAGGTGGCAGGGAGCTTAGACCATTACTAGTTCCCTCACAGCTTTCCGGAAGCTAATAAAAACATGGCTTTTTAGAAAAAGCTTTTTGGGTTCTCCTCCTCTTACAATTGTGCAAATTTACATGTGCCTTGATTCTGTCAAGTGACCATCATCACCATCAGGGCTCTTTTTTCTGCCCAGAGTAGCAGCATGCAACTAGATGGCTGGTATAAACATTTAATAAATAATAGTTTCTATTTGTTTTGAATAACAAACCATCTTACACAAAGGAAATAAAAATGGTACACGTAACTTTTGTACCAGATTTAGTGTTGAATGCCAAAGCAACTATTACACTCCCATTACTGAAATAACAGTTTGTTTTCGCAAATAAGTTTTATTGAAATAACTGTTAAGATGCTTTATTGTTTTTCCAGACTGCTTTCAAAAGGTTATTTATACTTTGGCAAATCTTATTTCTAATGTGCATTTCTATTTCAAAGGTTGTATCAGCTTCTGGAAGGCCAAGATTCAAAAGAATTGTTCAGAACACATGATGGTCTTCAGCAGATGGCTGAAAAATTGCATCTAGATACAACATCTGTGCTTGATCAGTTAGCAGTAACTAGTAAAGAACAAATTCTTCTTCTGTCAAAGATGGATGCTGATGTAATTTCCCTTCGTGATTGTATGTATTGTGGTGGAGAAAGTGTCTGCCTTAGCAATCAGGTGAGTGACTCTTTTAGGATTAGTTATGATTGTAGTTGAAAAAATCCTATTAGTTGTACTTGGTACTGTAGTTTTACACTGTTTATTTACACAGTTGGCATGTATCTTTGTGGCCGATGATTGCAAGTTAAGAAGTTACTAGCATAGGCATTTTCTGAACCATAGATGCCTACATTAGCTTCTCAACCTGCAGCAATTCACTATTGAGATTTATGCCAAATATGTTACATTTGGCACCTACAGTGATACATTTTTGTAATATTGGACACTGGTGCTGCAGTTTATATACGTACTGTAAGCTTTGTTGAACTCAGCAGCATGGAGGACTTTTGCTGTACAAAAGCTATTCTTCACACCCTAGTTTCAATTTCGTGGCTGTAAAATGTACCTATCAGGAATCAACAGCACACCTCCATAAATGGAGTGCGCAGGAGCAAGTGCTTTTGGAACTGTGCTTTGTTTTTTGCTTGGCCAGAACATTCTGGTCCAAGACTGTCATTCTCCTGCCATCTTGTCTGTTTGAGCTGGTTTACTCACCAATTAAGTTCACATGTTTTCTCAGAACTAGAAGCAGCTGCTTGGGTTTGGAAGGAGCAGACTAGCTGGTTTCCCTATACTTCAACTTCGGAATTTTTTTCTATCCCAGCTGGACTGTCTCCCTCACTCAGGCAGCAAACTATGCAGCCAGTTCAAAGATTAAATGCTATTTATGTTTTGGCTAAGGCAAAAAGGTGCTTTCCTTGGCTGCAGCCAGTACTGGCACACCACTGCCCAATACTGCCTTTACTTTGACAAGTGCCCCATGACAGGTCTGCTGGCACTGATCAATCTGATGGCCAGAAGTTAGGCTTTGTAGCTGTTGTAATTTTGGAGAAGGCAGATGCAGAAAAAGTACCTTGCAGTACTTTTGCCCTGTCAAAGCCTCAGTGGAACATAACCTCATGGGTTATTTTCATTACTAAAATGAATAGCAGAAGAGAACGTTTTATGGCAACCCAAATAATGGTTTGGCTACTGCCAAAATCAGCAGGTCTATGACCTAAAGCATATATTTAGGCTTCCTCACAATTCCAGTTTTCAGTCTCAAAGAAACAATTTAAAAATTATTTGGCCACTATCTGGAGGAGACTGCCATTTTAAGTTCCATTATAATTTTCTAGACATATGTTATATATAGATGTGTTAAATGCATTATGGTGTTTCTCTCATGTTTAGGAGCTGGCAGAGCAATTTGATCAGTTGGAATTCCAGTTGAATAAATTAAATCAGCTTATTATGGATTTTCTTGCTGATATAAAAACTAAGAAGAAGGTGCTGGAGAATAATAAATTACAACAGATGGAAAGAAAACTGTACACGTACTTTTTCAAAGATGAAGAACATTTAAAGAATGTTGTGGAAAGATTGGAGCAACAAGTTAAGGTTCAAGCCATGTCTTGAATACAAGATTTTATACTTCGAAATGTTCTTTAAAATGTTAGAACTTTTGTATTGAACACTGAAATGTGCTGGATGAAGAACAGTGAGAAGGAGGGAAAACCACTGGTCAAGTGTTTACTTGAACAGTTACATATCCTGTAGAGGTTCAGAGACAAAATAACATTTGGCAAATAATCTCATTGAAAATTTAAAGGACTAGGAAATCCCAACTTTGTACAGCAATTCTATATAGATCTGTTACTTTTTTGTTTATTGTATGATTTTGAAGGAGGAAGTTTGCCAGATTTTAGTTTACTCCGGAGGTGAAGCAAAATGAGTAGAATGCTTCATTCCCACAAGTTCTTCAGTTCGATTTCTCCTAGATCCGAAGACTAACAATTGCATCACCACAACCTCTGTATCATTATAAAACTGATTGCATATTGCATGCACATAGATAACTTTCACCATGCCTATTTGTGCCTAATATTGGTAGTAATATTAGTTCAGCTGATATAATCTGTTTTGGATTTTACTTCCCCAATATTTTTTGAATGCTCCCCAGCAGCCATTCCTAACCTGGTGCTTTTCAGATGTATTGGAACAAAATTCCCACTTGGGTTGATGAAAGTTTTAATTAAACCCAGAAGTCACCAAGCTGGAGAAGGCTGCTGTACAGAGTGTCTGCTGCAATACAGAAATATACAGTAACGCATGATTGACATTATAATCTTATACTTGCTTACCTAAAAGTAAGCCTTGCCAAACTTAATGGAACCTGCTTCTAAACAGACACATATAGGCCACGGTGGGGGAAGGCTGGGAAAGGTCTCGGACGGCTATGGGAGGTGGCGGTTTCAGCCCTGGTGGTCCCGCGGGGGGGAAGGCTGGGAAGTGTCCGGGAAGGCAAGGGGGTGGCGATTTTGGCCCCGCGCAGCGGTGGAGAAAGGCTGGGAAGGGTCTGGGAGGCCAAGGGGGCTGGCAGCAGGCCCGCGCAGAGGAGCAGAAAGACCAAGTAGGTTCTGGGAGGGCAAGGGGGGTGGCGGTTTTGGCCACGGTAGGCCCACATGGGGGTGGAGGAAGGCCCAAACCGCTGCCTGCTGTACCCCTCCGGGACCCTACCCAGTCTTTCAACCATTCTTGGACTAAGTATTTTATTAAGAACAGGAAAAACATGCATTTTTTTATCCTGTACATATTATACTTCTATGGAGTTCTGGGCTCTATTCTGTTTTATTCTCAGTTTGTGACTTGAGAAAACCAGAACATTTAGATTTCATAGCTTAGAAAGAATATTAACCATTAGAAAAGATAATCAAGTGTAAGGATGTGTCAGTGGAGATCAAAACTATCCATACTAATGTATTCCCAGTTACAATCAATGCAAATGTGTGAAAGCTGGACAGCAAAGAAGGCTGATAGGAAAAATCTTTTAAAATATGGTCCTGAACGAGAGCTTTGCGGATACCCCGGACTGCTAGAAAAATAAGTAAGTGGGCCCTACAGCAAACCTCTGGAGGCAAAAATCACAAAACTGAAGCTTTCCTACTTTAGGCACACCATGAGAAGGCAAGATTCACTGGAAAAAACAATGCTGGGAAGGGTAGAAGGGAGCAGGAAAAGAGGAGGGCCAAATACAAATTGATCAACTTTCTAAAGGATTTTATAAGAACTATTTGAGTTCCAAAGTCTGGGAACCAGTGCTTTTGGGGGCACTTCTTTTTGGAAAGATCCAGCAAAGCCTGCTGTGATTGTAGGTAAATTCAGGCATTTGTGAATTAATCCCATTTTAATGCTTTTATCCTTCCAGTCTTTTTGTGTTCAGAATATTATGTATGGTTCTGTCTTCCCATGGATGGCTCTATCTTCCATCTCCTGGACCACTCAGCAGCTTCCAATACCATCAACCATGGTATCTTTCTGAGGCACCTTTCTAGGATAGGTCTTAGAGGTACTGTTTTACCGCGGTTCCGATCTATCCTCAATGGCCAAACTAAGAAGCGGGCATTGGGGGAATCCTGTTTGACACTTTGGCTATTGCCCTGTGATATCCTTCAGGGTTCAGTTCTGCCTGTTATTCAACATCTACATGAAACCACAGGAAGAGGTTGTTCAGAGTTTTGGGGTTCAGTGTCCTTCAGCTCTCTCCTTCCCATCTGATTACAGGGAAGCTGTTCTTTGCCTAGACCAGTACTTTTTGTCAGTAATAGATAGGGTGAGGGCTAACAAATTGAAACTTACATCTAGACAGGATAGAGGTGCAAGTTAGGATAGGGATCCAGCCTATACTGGGTGGGGTTACACTGCCCCTGAAACAATAAGGTCTGTAGCTTGGGTATACTCCTGGATTCAACCCTGAGCTTTGGATGCGTAGGTCTCAGTGGTGGCCAGCAATGCCTTTGCACAGTAAAAGCTGGCACACCAGCTGCACTCATTCATTGGATTATTACAAGGTACTCCAAGTGTTTGGAAACTTCAGCCAGAGATGTAAAGACACCCCAGTAAGCTTCATGGCTGACCAGACATTTGAATGTTTAGTCTATTCCTGGTGAATTACACTTTTGCTCTGTCACTGGGGTTGTTTGTTGACTGACTGCAATTCCATTTAGACCCCATTTCAACAGTTTGGAGAAAAAGTTTGCTTTGGCTCAGATCTTTAGACGCCACCAAATATAAAATTTAAAAATTATGTGTTGTTGATTCTGCATCCGGTGTGTTCTAGATACAAAGTACTCGGGGATGGTTTAATTGTCCCTCCTTGTGGTGCTCTGGACCATGCAACTTTCCTCGAGACCACATTGATGGCATGGTATCTAACCCTGTCATGTCCCACTTGATTTTCACTGGTACCTCTCCTGAGATGCACAGTAAGGAACTGGGTCCAATCTTAATTCAGAAAAACCTGAAGCTTCATAGCTTCCCATCATCTCTGGGAAGTAAAAAAAATACTTACATTTGCTTTACTGATGTAACTTTTAGCCAAAAGTGGATTCACAGGAGCAGAGCTCCAAGTGAAAAGCTTTTCCTATCAAGGACTACATTGCTACTTGGGAAGCCATCTAGGGGCTGCATGGCATTGTTATCATAGACATACAAATATATTCCAGTGGTATTTTGCCTGTTCAGACCTAAGAAATGGCTCCTTTGTTAGTTCTGAGCAGTGGAAAGCTTCCATGAAAGATTTTGTTTCGGGAGAGGGAAAGGATGGGCCAGAGTGGGAATGTCTAATGGTGGGACATCACCCATGCCTGTTTTATAATTTGATGACTTTCAAAGTAATGTTTGCTTATACACATCTCATGGATAAATTATGCATACAGAAGTGCTCTAGGAAACAAGACTGCAGTATATCAGAATATTGAGATACCCTGAAGCTTGACTTGGGGAAGGCAACAAGGATTTGCTCACATTATTCACCATATGTTGGTGCACAGCCTAATGAGGCGAAGGATTTGCTCACATTATCCACCATATGTTGGTGCACAGCCTAATGAGGAATCTTTTAGGTCGAAAGCTGCCTATTTGTTTAATGTTTAGTGGTCCAATGAAGGCATCACCTGCCCTTGCCTTTGTAATGTGTACGTAAGGACCACACAACTTTGTTTTTTCCTCCCCCAAGTTTTTGTAGGTTATTTGTATGTACACCCTGCAGAGTTTTTTCTTTGTTCTTGTCAGAATCACTATAGTACAATTGGTGTATCAGATTATTTTCGCCCAATAATGGACAACACCATGCAATCTTCCATGGTGCAGAGTACCATATGTATCAGATTATTTTCGTCCAATAATGGACAACACCAAGAGCACTGGGGGCAGCTAACATGCAATCTTCCATGGTGCAGAGTACCATGAGGGGCACAGAGTACACACCAACATAGTTGTGAAGGACTGTGTCTATGTGAACAACCCATTTAGGCTTACATTGGTTTTGCCAACTCCAATCAGTAGTCTATGAAATCATATCCAAATAACTCAGTTCTCTGTATGCCTAGGGGTTAGATTTTCCTGAAATTTTAAGAGGATTTCTACATTACTATCCTGGTATTCTCTGCTATTTCTTCAAGATTTACGATATTCTGGGGGGCGGGGGGAGAGACTCCTTGATTTTAGTTTGAGAGGGGTGGTATGGTAGCTGAAGAATGGATGTAGAAAACCTCTTAAAATTTGATCTAGAATGTGAACATATTCAGGCAGCCCTGATCACCTGTTGGTTGATCCTTTCACTCCAGAAACACCAACATGAGGCTGTTCTTTGATAATGACCTGCAAGGGGCCATAAATAACAAAAAGGGCCCTTGTCAGGGCCAAAGCTAATCATAACTACTATTCACATAACGGGCTTATCAATACCAACTGCATCAGTTCTGCCAGACACATGACTGTGATATACTGTGTATTGCAGAGGTTTGCTGCTAGGTAAGTAATCTGTAATATGTCAACAGGGCAGGAACATGATTCACTTCAAACATACCACAGATCTGCTAGATTTATATGATGATTTGGGATACAACTAAATGGATGTTATGTACATCCCACACACTATGGTTCTGAACAAGGGCGATTTCATGTGCCACCCCTTCTCTTCATGTGCTGTCCTTAAAAGAAAAGGGGGAGAAAGGATTTTGGATTTCAGTTCCAAAGGTCTAAAATGATTTTTGTTAGAAGAAGCATATACAGGCCACGCCTATTTGGCTCTTACAGTATCCTTAGTTGTCATAGAGCCCAAGAGTGCAATGCTGCTTGAAGTATTTTCTAGAAGTACAGGTGACGAATTGGCATTTCATCATCTCTTTCCAATTAAATTTTAGGCCACCTATGATAAATTCATCTGTGCTGCAAGGAATGCTATGCTATGTCTCAGCAAAGGGATAGGCACCCTGTGGCCCTCCATTTTTTTAATTGCAGCCACCTCCATCTCTCACAGTATTAGCTATGCAAGTTTGGGCTGATTGGGATTATAAATCAACGCCATCTGGAAGCCCAGAATTTGTGCTCCAAACCCTTATGAGCAAACTCCTCTCAGGAAAACTGCTGTTTTATAATATTCACTAATATGTATCACTCTACTCCAAAGTAAGCCAGACCACCACAGTCACAATCATTTTGCCATTCGTTCCCCTTATGCCTTGTAACACCTCATGTGTGAACTACACTACCTGTGGTGGAGAACAGCTAGTGTCCCAGCAGAAGGTACTCCTTCCGATTCAGTCCATCAGCTCTCATATATACTGCTATCTACCAAACTATAAATTCCTAACGCAATACTGCAGAAAACAAGCATTGCAGCTTTTACTGGCTTGGCAAATAAAGCTCTATTTGCAAACGACGTCGTTTATTTCCTATTGTAGCGGCGGCTTTGAACCCACTGTGGTAGAGAAGCAAAACCTAAACATAATACAGTACTTGACATATTGGGACTTGGGATTCTTATTGGGCTCTCTAGGGCGCTTAAATTTAGGCTCGTAGCCTGCGTAAGCTCTTTTGTTCCACGGTCGCCTGTAGAATAAAGGCTCAATAGTTTCTCGTGAATAAGCACGGGCTAGTGGTGTGTTTGTTTTGAGGAAGCACCGCCCACGGGAGCCCTTCGTAGCAGGGGAACAGAAACGACGCTCTAGCCGCCGCCCGTCCCGCTATAGCGGGGAAACTCCGCCGGAAGGGGAGGGAAGGGAGGAGGGGGCGGCGGCCCCGGCAAGGGAAGTCGGCTTTCACGGTCGTCCGTCTGTCCGTCCTAAGCAGGAGGGGGCGCCACACGGGAGACCGAGGGGCGCGAGCGATGTTGCAGCTGGCCGGGCTGGGCTCTCGTGCGCTCGGCTTAAGGCCGTGGCGTTGGGTCTCTGGAAGATGGCAGAGGCTCTCGGCAGCCCCCCCGGAGTCGAGCCAGCCTTCGGCGGCTTCCCGGCGCAGGCCCCGGCCGGCAGTCGCTTGGCGCGGGAGCGTTGGATCCCTTCCTTGGATGGTGGAGAACAAGCAGGTGCTGCGGCTTAGGGCGCGCTCCCTTCCCGCCCCCCCCCCGGGTGAACTACGGGAGAGCAGGAAGAAATGCCTAGACTTCTTAGTGGGGATTTCAGGAGTCATCTGTACCAAGTTCCATTGATTCAAATAGGCCTGTAATGCTAAAGCAAGTCACAACGAGAGTAGGCCTATTTGAATCAATGAAACTGAACGGAGGGGGTTGCCTCACCAAATCCCCATTGGTTCAGCGGGCCGGTTCTAGGAGAAAGTTTAATTAGTTGGAAATGTGCTGGAGGAGAGCTTTGTGGATATCTTGGAATGTTAGAAAAACCAAACAAATGGGTCCTAGATCAGATCAAGCCTGAACTTCAATGAAAACAAAGGCTTCTCTGGAAAAGACAATAACGCTAGGAAAGGTGGAAGGCAGCAGGAAAAGAGGAAGACCAAACATGAGATACATTGACTCCCTAAACTTGCCTAAAGGATACCACAGGCTTGAGGGTGTAAAAGCTGAGCAGGGCTGGTGGGGACAGGAGAGCCACTCATTCATGGGGTCACCAGATGCTGGAGGTAACTTGATAACACATAATTCTAGTACAATTTACTATGTTAAGCAAGGAGGCTTTGGCCAGTATGTGATTTTGCATATGATCATAGGAGTGCTTGTTTGGTCATAGACGCTAGGACAGGGCTCCTTGCAGAATTGCAGACAAATGCGAGGGGGGGGGGAATCTCTGCCACACAAATCAAAGAGCCAAAACATGATAATGTACCATAAGAGCACACCCTCCAATAGCCCTCTTCCTAGTGGAAGGGAAAAATGAAGCAAAGAGCTGGTCTTAAGAGCCTTTAAAAAATGCCTGCCCTGGTTTACCCTTTTTGTGTTTTAGTGAGAACAGTTTTACTTGCTAATGTGTCCAGTACACATCAGTTAACCACTTCTCACCCAAACACAAAGCAATTGTCAGCGCTGTTTTTCAACAAGTGTGAATAGTAAGGTAGTCAGCAGAAGAGGGTTTTCTGTAGACCATCTTGACTGCTGCCATTGGTGTTATTAACATCCACGCTGCCCTTTGCTATGTAAAGCTTAGCATCCTTTTTTTTTTTTTTTTTGCTGGCAAAGTGAGCATGATATTTTGCAGCAATATTGGGCTATTTCCTGACTTTTTGAATCGTGGGTACAAAAGCATAATATTCCACATTCATAAACGAGGTTTTTTGAACAATTGATTTGTTGATTTGTTTCTTTGTTTCATTTCTGTACTGCCCATCTGACCAAAGGCCACTCTGGGTGGTTTACAACGCAAAGAAAAGACAAAAATCATAACATAATAAACATGGTTAATAATTCAAAATTCAACATAAAGTAGAACAGTGAGTACACTGCAGAGAAAGATATAGTGGCTTGGTAGATTTCTGAGGGTGAACCAGTCCACAGACTATGTTTTCTGTTAGGGTGCATAGTTTATTTTCATTGTATTTTGGAAATTAATAATATCACATTATGTCAAAAAGGCAGTGTTGTCTTATGGTAGTGTGTTTTACTGGGACTTGGTTCTGATCCTGGCTGAGTCATGAATCCCACTAGCCGACCATGGGCCAATAATCTACCCTCATCTTGACTTCCTCATTTTGTTGTGATGATAAAGTGGCAAAGAAGAAAGGTGTCTTTTCTGCCTTAAGGTCATTGGAACAAAAGTAGAATATGAACATAACCAACCTGTAAATGAAAAGCTCTAATGAATGCATTAATTGTCAATCACAACTACTGTGTAGTCTTGTCCTATTATTCATTTAAGTTCTCTGAATGGTGAGTGTGTCTGTATAAAACCCTACGAAACTATTGGTCATAATATTGGTATATCTTTGCTGGCTGTGGTTTTTACTTCATAGATGCCATTTGGCCATGTGGAGTCACTTTGCTGTTTCAGCACATCATCCAGCCATAAAGATTCTGAATATGGAAGATTAATTTACCGTGGAAATTTAGCAAAGGCAGTAGCAGGTAGGCTGCTTGAATTATGCTTGTTAAAAATACTTTGGCTTTGAAGAGTTATATTTCACAAATGTCAAATGCCTAAAAATGGCATGGGATGTGGGTTTCTGTCTCAGTGGCTAGTATTTTTAAAGAACCCCAAAAGCCAAAATCAACAGATTTGGGGACATTTTTGTCCCAGTTTTGGTTTGGTGGTTTATTTTGTTTATAGAAACTAAAACTCTTTATGTGACAAACAGATCAAATCTGGAGACATTGTTTACTGCTGTGCAGTGGGCTTATTGCCTCTAAGCATTCTGTAACAAAATGTGACTATGGAAAATTAAAATGTCCCATCCTAGTGCAGGAGGGTTAAATACAGGAAAAGGTCTGTGTCAAATAGGCTATCTTCTGAACTCTCATATTATAGTCATATTCGTGTTTACCTTGTGTGCTCTGAAGCCTTAATGTTTTAAGAGGTTTTATCCATAGTAGGTTTCTTTATGTTTCCAGCTTAATGTTGCAGTCCTGTGTTAAACCTATTTAGAAATAATTCCCATTACCCAAAATCACACTAGTTTTTGTGCACATTGTAGCATAATCATGGAAGTTGTGGCAGCTGATTGAAACTAATTGGCATCCTTCTGGTTGTGTATCTGGTCACATTATGGTCACATTAATTAATTAGCCTCAGTTAACTGCTATGACTTCCATGATGGTGCTACTCTACATGGAAGAAAGAAATAGAATGTTGGCCACTGAATTTAATGGCACTTTCCCCTGGTGTATGAGTATAGAATTGCAGCCTAATTGAAGGGCTTCTTGAATTAGAGCCTGAGCCAATCACACCTGGCAAAAGAACCTTAGTTATACCGATACAGTGGTTTTTAACATCATTTCATAATTTCCCAAGCACAAGATGCAAGGCAAACACTGATTCATTTTCCCTGACAGCTGTTTATTTCCAGTTCATTTTCCCCTCGGGCTCAGGTTTCCAGGTGCTGTTGCAACTTGATGTCTACTGTGCTTGTAACCTTTTTTTAAAAAAAATTATTTATCAACGAATCAGCACGTTTCTGTCTCCTGAGCAATATTGTTTCTGCTAGCAGCGCAAAGGGCTTTTGAATGGGGGCCGGAGCACATACATTTCCTGCTTGGCACTGTAAAGAAAGGGGCATATCCTCTCTTTTTTAAAGCTTGGAGCTCTCTATTGCACCAAAGATCAAATGTTCCTGAACAGGAATCCCTTTCCTCGTATCAATGTATCAGTTAGGATCTTTTAAAAAAATTAAAGTAAGGGGCAGCACTGCCCCAGAAAACCAGAGAGAAATTAAATTGAGTCCATGGTGTAGCCAGCAATAACATTTCAAATAGGAATAAATGAATCTATGGCAAAAAAATTATCCTGGTATATATTTCTGCTGGCATATATGCCACATGACCACGAAAATAAATGTATTGATACAACAGAAGTTTGAAAACCATCAATATGACTAGGGTTCTTTTGGCAGGTGTGATTAGGCCCTCACTCAGACATACAGTGGGGTCTCGACTTACAAACTTAATCCGTATTGGAAGGTGGTTCGTAGGTCGAAAAGTTCATAGGTCGAATCTGCATTTCCCATAGGAATGCATTGAAAACCATTTAATCTGTATCTGCTCTTTTCCATCCATAAAAACTAATGGGAAGCTGCTATTCTGCTTTCTGCCCCTAGAGGGGGATATTTTTTCTTTTTCTTTTTCCTTAGGTTCAGGAAAGGAGGAGGAAGGAAGGGAACAGTTTGCAAAGCACTTTAGAAATCTTTTTTTTTTCAACGAAGCCAATTTTAAAGCATGTTTTAAAGCATGTTGTGCTGATTTTTTCAGCACAAGGACACACAGGCAGGCTTTTTAGGTGCTGAGCAAGCCTCCCCAAGCCTGTTCAGAGCCAGCCGATCAGCTGATAGGTGGGGAGAGAAGGGTGCAGGAGCAGGGGGGGGGAATCACAAAATGGCTGCCAGGCTGCCTTCTGGGGGTCGGTTTTTAGCTGTTTCCTGCTCTTTTTCCTGCTGTTTGGGGGCTACCAAGGCCTGGGAAGTGACTTTTTTATTTATTTTTAAGTTTCTGACCCTTTTTCCCCCCTCCAGAAGCCTCTAAGGGGAGGGAGGGGGCACGTTTTTCCTGTTCGTAACTGGAGGGAAGTTCGTATGTTGAGTCCTTATTTCCCCTATAGGGCAGGTTCGTAAGTTGAATTGTTTGCAAGTAGGGTCGTTCGTAAGTCGAGACCCCACTGTATGACAGTAATGTACATTGCGTTAAAAGACATTTCACCTTATATGTTAATTTCTTTTTGTTTTTCAGGAGTGAAGTTCTTCTCTTATTCTACCAGCATGTTAAATATTGCTATAATGACCTACATCAGCCTTGGAACTGGATTTGATATTGACAGTCTTCCTTTGAAAATTGCCCTTTACAGTGGCATAGGATTCTTTACATTTGTAACACCAGTTATGCTGCATTTCTTTACTAAGGGATATGTCATCAGGTTATACCACAAGGCCGAAACAGACACTTATACAGCCTTTACTTATAATATTATTTTGGCAGAAAAGAAGACTGTCTTCCATCAGAAGGAAGTGAAGGTTCCAGATCTTAGCAAAATGTTCACCTCATTTTATGCTAACACGAAGTCGATGCTTGTTAATCCTATGGTTTTTGAATATCCACAAGACTATAATCATCTCATGGGTTATGACAGGCCATTCACATTTGACCAGGAATAACTGAAAGCATCCAGTGGAAACAAATAGACTCTAAAGTGCTATATTGGTGGTTTTATTCAATATATGTGCAGGTTATATACACATATTAATTATTCAGGATTCCACCATAAATTCTGGTTCAAAAGTCCTGTTGTATTTTACTTTCTGCATTCAATTTTTTCTTATTAACTGCTGTTTGTTTTTCTTATTAAATACTGATTACTATGACTAAAATTATTGGCAAAAGAGTAGACATGTAGATTTATCGGAGGCAATAGTCCTCTGTTGTTTAAAGGAATACCAAAGTGTCCCAAGAGTTCTTGATTAAAAATGAAGTTCAATACAAAAAGAATTTACATAAACATGGAGTGATGTTTAAGGTTTTCCAGGACTATAGTTAGTTTAAATATTGCTTTTAATCTCAAAGAGAGATTAAGTCCATTTAAACTGGGTATTTAGATCACATATGTTAAGAGGGCAGTTATGAAAGCACATCGGACATGTGGGTGACACCTCTCCTAGCATCCCATTTATTTCTGTAGAACTTAAGTTGACCTCATTGTTGCTAGCCAGTAATGCTCCCCACCCCTTTTTTTTGCCTGCCGAAACTGGTGTTCTGCTACTGCAGCACCTTGGTCCAAACTTTCTCCCCCACATTTTCTTTTCTCTTTTAACTCTAGATGGGTTACTACTGAGCGATATCCTGTTGGATACTTGTGTGTGTGCAAGAGGAATCACAGAAGATGATTAACCATGTAGTTAAGTGACAAAGTGCCAGGCATATGCCAGGCATGTGATTAGGTATGTGACTGACGTGGGAACAGCACTTGGTCAGTAGCCTTGGGAATGTCTGCAATTTGTCTTTTGTGTGATTGTTAATATCTAACAGGATTCTAGCCATTTTTTTAAAATCATTTTTTAAAGAAATCATTGCTATGACCTAAATCTGGTTTCTGATACCAGCTGTAGTAGACCCATCAGATCAATTGCTGAGCACTTAAATAAATCCAGTGGATTTGCTGGATCTGTTTAGGACTAGCAGCTGGATACAGACTTTGGTATCTAACCATGCTCGGAGTCCCTTTTTCCCTGGGAGACTTGTGCTTCCTAATACAGGCTGGGTTGCAGTGTTGACAGACTCCTTGGGGTGTGAAGGTCTGCTCATATATCTAGCCTGAAATACGAAAGCCACCACTGAGTCAGACAGCTTTAAATTTATTTATTTATTTGTTCCATGTTTACCCCGCCCATCTAGATTCAGGAATCCACTTTGGGTGGCTTACAGAGTATAAAGATAGATACAACATTAAAATAACTTTGATCAAAGAGCAAAAATCGATAAAGAAAACAGGATCCAAAATGGAAAAGAAGCTAAAGGGTGGGGTGGGGGGGAGTCCTGCCGGAAGAACCAAGTCTTCAAGTTGTTTTTAAAATTCCCAGTGAGGGTGCCAGTCGAGTCTTCGGTGGTAAGGTATTCCAAAGATGTTTTTAAAAGTATTAGACAAATCCAAGCAGATTGAGGCTACTAGCTCTGGTCCCAGTTTATCAGAATAGTGATTGCTAGGGAACTTCCCCATTAAGAGGGGAAATACTGTTACATTGCTGTCCTGTTTATGGCCTTCCCAGAGGCCATTTTGCGAAGAGAATGCTGGCCTGGTTTGGCCTTTGGTCTGACCCAGCATGAGCCATCATATTGTTGACAGTTATGAATGGGGCAGCAACATATTGACCAGAATCTTATTGGTGATGCTGTGAGGTTTATGTGAACTTGCTGCAGCTAATTGTGGCCAGTTGATGAGCAGCTCAGGTGCATCTTCCTTGTATGTGTGATCACATGACCAGTAGTAAAACAGATTTATTTATTTAAGATTTATTTATAGCAGATTTATTTTTATCTCGCCTTTCTCCTTAAAAGGACCCAAGGTAGCTTACATCATTAAAAGGCAATATTTAAAGCTAAAAACAGTAAGTGTAGGTTAAAAGTATCAAACAATAACACTCTAAGAAATGGTAAAAGCACATTCAAAGCTGTAGGGCACAACAATCCATCTGAAATCCTTGCTGGGGCATCCAGTCACTGGGGGAAAGCTTACCTGAAGAGAGAGGTCTTTGCCTGCTTGTGGAAGGATAGCAAAGATGGGACTAGCCTGGCCTCCTGTGGGAAGGAGTTCCAAAGTCTGGGAACAGCAGCAGAGAAAACCTCCCCACCAAACGTACCTGTGAAGGAGGTGGGACCAAGAGAAAGGCCTCTCCTGATGATGTTAATTCCTGAGCACGCTTGTAATAAGACATGTGGTCCTTGAGATAGCTTGGACCCAAGCTTATTTTAAAGAGTTTTGTAGGTTAGAACCTACTTTGAATTGTGCTTGGAAATGGATCAGCAGCCAGTGGAGCTTCTGCAATGGCTTGTGTGATCCCTTGATCCCTAGTCAGCAATCTAGCTGCTGCCTTTTGGATGCACTGAAGTTTCTGAACACTATCCAGAAGCAGCCTTACATAGACACTACACCTGCTTAGTTAGATAGGAAGCCCCTAGAATTGGTTTCCATCTGTGCAAATAGCCTGAAGACTAACCTAGAGGCGCACTCACCATCCTTTACAGATGAACAATAGAAACTATTTCCTTGAAGTGGGGAGTGAGTAGCTATACTACCAAAGGCCAAGGTGGACAAATATTTGGGACTGTCTAGCTACCTAATGCTCTGTTACTGCTCTTGGTTGCTTTAAATAAAAAGTTGCTGCGCCAACCGACTTCCGGATAAAGGACATCAACCAGAAAAGTGTGTACAAAATCTTTTACTTTCAGTTGGAGGTTGCCTAGTCAAGTTTTTAATCTGAATTTAAGTGCATGGGACTCGAGTCATACCTGAAAAACTCTTAGTCCAAAGTGTTTAAAATAAAAATGTGTGCCCCAGCAGGGAGCCTGGTTGGTTCTGCTTATATGTATAAGCCACTAGAGGGACTCATTGTCTGATCCCTGGCATTGATGGTCCCTTAAACAGTGAAGCCGTTTCTGTGAAGTGTTTAATAAGCAACTGTAAGCAGACTCAGAGGTTAGAAAAGTTTATTTGGTCTACAGCCCCCAGAACTTTGCATCCAAGATAGCTAGAAAATATCCCCAAACTAACTTTGTTAAGCTCACCAGGAAACCAGATAAATATGTCTAATAATTATGCAGTTGGACATAGTCATAATTATTTTACTGGTACTGGAATTGTAACAGATTTGCTACAGTTCAGAGCCTGAGAACATTGGTTGTGGATTGGTGCCATACTGGTGTAAACTATACAGTTCTGGGATGTGGTGGCACTGTGGGTTAAACCGCAGAAGCCTCTATGCTGCGAGGTCAGAAGACCAGCAGTCGTAAGATCTAATCCACACGACGGAGTGAGCTCCCATCATTTGTCCCAGCTCCTGCCAACCTAGCAGTTTGAAAGCATGCAAAATGCAAGTAGATACAGTGGTGCCTTGCTTAACGAGCGCTTCGGTTAACGACGAATCCGCATAGCGATGATTTTTTGCAATCGTTTTGGGGATCGCATCGCAATGTTTTAAATGGTAAAATATTGCTTTGTGATGATCGGTAAACTGTTTCGCTTACTGATTTTCCCATAGCAATGTTTTTAGAACAGCTGATCGGCAGTTCCAAAATGGCCACTGGGTAAATAAAATGGCCGCCCGCTGTGTTTTTGCCTGTATTCCTCACTTACCGGGCAGCGAAAATGATGGCCGTATGGAGGATTTTCGCATTAAGGTGAGTTTTTTGTCCATAGGAACGCATTAAACAGGTTTTAATGCATTCCTATGGGCTTTTTATTTCCACATAGCGACGAATCCGTATAGCGGTACCAACATGGTGGGAAGGTAACGGCGTTCCATGTCTAGTCGTGCTGGCCACGTGACCACGGAAGATTGTCTTCAGACAAATACTGGCTCTACGGCTTGGAAACGGGGATGAGCACCGTGCCCTAGAGTCAGACACAACTGGACAAATTGTCAAGGGGAGCCTTTATCTTACCTATACAGTTCTTCCTTGAATTGCACAGGTTTGAGCAGCACAGTTTTGTTTATACACATTTCCCCCAATAAATGAATAAACAAATGTTCAAATAAATAAATAAATGTTTAAACAAATGAATATTCAATATATAAATATTCAACAAATAACACTGCTATTCATTTCCTTGAAGTGGCCTGAGAAAGATGGGTATTGGATTTGCCAAGGCCCCTGTTGTTGTCAGTAAGGTGGTTCCCAGTCCAATGGCAGCAGCCCAGCTAGTCCTGTCTCTTGGCACGGTGGCTGCATGTGGCGGCTGGGGAGGGTGTTGGACAGAGATGGGCATGAGCCACAATTCAGCAGTTCAGCACAGTGCCCACACAGGTATTCCGTGGGTGCTGGGGAATCCTGCCTCCTCTGCACACTCGCCCATTTCCTGGGCGAAGCACCCTTCTCTCCCCATGTCCTCAGCATGACTGCCGCTCACCAATTGCACCACACGCTTTCGTCCGCCACTTCCTCCGGCAGCCACCCACTTAAACGGGGAGGTGGACAGGGAAGCCTGCAGCGCTGCCTTTGAATGGATTTCCGTTGGAGTATGCTGTATAGTTAATACAGGAAACTCAGTCTGTTTTCAATGTGTGTGTGTGTTAATCTACCATTTGGGATTTGTAGTTATGTTTTGGGGCCATAAGAGTTATACATGGATAAAAGTACATGCTGAAAACAACATGGCATTACCTTTTACCAGGGAGGCTCTCAAATTTACAATGGGCAGCAGTACAAACAAAAGCTTTCAGTTCTCCACTGAAAGCTCTCTTATCTCCACAATATAATATTTTCCAGCGAACACAGATGTAAGCAAGTATGTCGCCTTGCAGATATTGGATTGCAACCTCCCTCATCCCTCTCCATTGGCTATATTGGCTAGGGTGAATGGGAACTGTAGTCAAAACATTTGCAGAGCCAGTGGTTGCCTGCCTCTGAGCTAAGGAGAGAGACCAGAAGATGAGTCTTTTGTCACTGAATTTCATCAGTGAGAATCAATTAGATATCAAAGGACTTTTAGTAGTTATCTGTAAAAAGGCTGTGTTTCAGTCTCTGTTAGTGATTGCCATCACTTTCGCTCCTCCAACAATTTCCTCATCTTTTAACAACTTCATAATAGGCAGCTACATGTGACATGTGCCTCAATATGCTGACACGTATGGGGTCTAGATATAGCATTTAACCTAAATAGGGCTTGGTTACAAGTGGGAGAAAAATCTATTTTTCAATTATGTTTAGCAAGTCTGAAATCTATTTTTAAAATTTTGACTACATGATGCACAAGGAAACACAGACTTTTTTGCCCGGGAAACATGTTCTTTTGAGGCATTTTACTTGGTCATGAAGGATTGATTATTTTAAATCACTTGTGAAATCTGTAGTTAGTTTCTCTTTGCCACTCGTGTGCCTTCCTTCTGGCCAACCCTGGTTACTGGTTCCGTCACTCCCTTTCTTCCACCCTGTGTGTGTGTGTGTCTGTTTCTATGAGTATGTGTCAGGCTCCAGGAAAAGCTTGCACTCTGATCTGTCTTAGTTTTTTTTTTTATGTCTGTCATCCCAAACTAGCACTATGCCTGATTTAATGTATAAACATTAAAAATAACACCTCAACAGCAGCAGCTGCTAGTGGCTGTGAGAGAAAACCAGCACAAGGGCAGTCACAGGACAAAGTCTCCAGCGCAGGGATTCTAAAAGCCTGGATAGCCCCAATGACCAAAACACAACACAAGTTTAAAAATGGATTAAACATGTTTTCCAGGACGACATATACACCAGCCCAAAAACCACATGACTGCCATGTGACTTTAAAGAGCCTCGTGGCGCAGTGGTTAAAATGCTGTACTGCAGCTAAAACTGTGCTCATGACCTGGGGTTCAAATCTCAGGTAGCCGGCTCAAGGTTGACTCAGCCTTCTATCCTTCCGAGGTCGGTAAAATGAGTACCCAGCTTGCTGGGGGGGCAATGTGTGGCCTGTATAATTAAACTGTAAACCGCCCGGAGAGTGCTTGTAGCGCTATGGGGCGGTATATAAGTCCAAAAAAAAAAAGCAACTTCAAAAATCCCAATTGATTGGCTAATTCATTTTCAAATTATAACTTCTGATAAGAGCTAACCCAAATTTACATCCTCCACAGATTGCTTCCTAAACAGGACTATCTTGAGTTTTAAGAATTCAAAAGCAGTAGAAAACAAGACAAATTTCTATATAGTCAGTGCAAGGGACATTCTGGCATGCTAATTGCAGCAGACCATCGGCCAAAGATGACACCAACTGACACTAAAGAAAGATGTTCTTCTCATTACAGGGGACTGGGATACAAAAATGGGAGGGACCTAACAGAAGCAGAAGACATCAAGAACAGGTGGCAAGAACACACAGAGGAATTATACCAGAAAGATTTGGATATCCCGGATAACCATAATGTGGTTGCTGACCTTGAGCCAGACATCCTGGAGAGTGAAGTCAAGTGGGCCTTAGAAAGC